AAACCCTTAACCCCAAGCCCTAAACCCTAAACCCTAAAAGTGTCTCTCTCTCTCTCTCTCTCTCTCTCTCTCTCTCTCTCTCTCTTTTTTAAAACTTAAACAAGCAAACCTGAAGAAATAAGAAACAACTCTCCTAAACCCTGAACCCCAAGCCCTGAACCCCTAAACAGCACCTAAACACCTAAATTGTCTGGGCCTTGCAGCCCCAAGAATAAACCCCTGTTTACTGTTTCGGAACAGAACCGAAGTGGACAAGAAGCCGAATGAGTGGGTCAAAGTAAGGGAAAAATAAGCAACCAAACAAAAGCACGGAAAACAATTGAAAAAAACCAGCCATTTTTGCAAAACCACAAAAAAGTAAACACAAAAAACAAACATGGGAAGACATTACAGAAACCAAGTCCAAAACATTGGGTTGCAAGATAAAAAAGGGGAGGGCGCACACTGGAGTCTTAACACGGCGCTTTTTTCGACACGCGGGCTTGCGAAAAATCAATCATTCATGTTAAGACTCGAGTGCGCATCCCAGGGCGCAGACTCGACAGCGAACCCCCAAGAAGCCCCCCTCAGGATGCAGACTCGAGTCTTTACGTGATGTTTGCTCGACCCTCCTTCTGATATGAGCGGGTTCACCTCAATAAAGCTTCGTTCATTTGGAACAGCCAGCGTGCGCTCATATCCCCGCACTTTCCCACTCGGTGCCCTCAGTCCACCACGGTCACCACTAGGGCAGAAGAATACATCGAAAACTCCAAGCGTGCTGCCGCATCTTGTTTCTGGTCCTCCTTCTTATGGGTGGGCGTTGCGGCTGTTTCAAGAGTTTTAATTGTTTTTTTGCAGTGGCAGGCGGTCGACTCATGACTTGGGGTATCAGCAATCGAAACCCTCCACTCCTGAAGAGCCCGATAGTTTGACCGCCGCGGGACTGCCACCAACTGCAACATACTGCAACGACTAAGACACCAGTTTTTCCGGCGGGCTCGTCCCATACTTCCGAGGTAGCAGAGGGGCATGTCTTTGTGGCGTTTGGACCGAGGTAGCTTGTCACAAAGCGTGGTTCTTTGCGTTTTCAGTTCGTGCATTAGCTTGGGCTCGAGGGGTTTTGGGGTTTGCCAAACCCTGAAGCCCTGAAGCCCTGAAGCCCTGCAACGGACCCGAAAAGCTCCTTGATAGAAGGCGCTTGCGTGCGGGGTGTCCCTCGAAGCAGGAGTGGTGTCCCAGGGGTGCCAACCCTGGCAAATCCTGGCAACGCAGTTTGTGCTACGCAGTTTGTGCTCAAGCAGCGCCAGCAGGAGTTCAGGAAGCAGGGTCAAGGAGGCCCAGGTCTCAGGAAAAGGGGAGTCAAGCAGGTGTCGTCAAGGCGGGGACCGAACTTTTGGAAGAGCGTTGATCTCCAACACCACGGCAGCATCGAGCGGCTGCAAACTTCGCGAAACAGAGTCCCAGGTGGAGCTCTCTGAAACTTGAGGAGCCGTCGAGCCTAAGTGCTACCGTAAGCGTGAAAAGAAACCTGGAACTTTCTACGCTCCAGGCAAAGGCTGCAGGTCCTAAGGAGTTTTAGGGTTTGGAAAGTTTAGGGGCAGCCGGCACGCCCAGACGTTGACAACAACCAGCACCTCGACGACCGCCACGTCAACCAGCACCTCTACAGTTGGGGGCCCAAGCGATCCTCACCCCCCCACCCGTGTTAGACAGTAGCGGGTACATAGGTCGTTGCTTACTTTGCAAAGGTTTGGATATTTCGGGGTTAGGGTTCATATCGCCCTACTTGTAACTTCCCGTGAGCCTTCAAGTAGGGTGTCGAGGTAAGATCTAAGCCCCAGAGCTTCCAAATCCGAAACCCACACCCCGAACCCTGAACCCTCTAGGGTTGTCAAAATCTACCTGTTTTACTCCCTGTACAGTAGCGCCGAGGTCACATCTCCGTACCTTAGATCCCCTAAGAGTACCCCCTTAATACAAGGGAAGTAATCCAGGGGCGTGTTCTAGTGTTCGTTTCGTAGTATTTTCCGACTTCCGCAGGCCTTGGGACCTAACCCTTGCAGCCCGGAAAAAGCGCTACGTAGTCACCGTCCCCGAACGATCCTTCAAAAGGGTTGAGGGTCTGAGGTTTTGAGGAGGGATATGAGCGGAATCATCATAATGATGACCCAGATGAAGCTTCGTTCATCCGGAACACCTGGCAAGGGTAGGATTGTCAGCCAGCGTGTGCTCATATCCCCGCACTTTCCCACTCGGTGCCCTCAGTCCACCACGGTCACCACTAGGGCAGAAGAATACATCGAAAACTCCAAGCGTGCTGCCGCATCTTGTTTCTGGTCCTCCTTCTTATGGGTGGGCGTTGCGGCTGTTTCAAGAGTTTTAATTGTTTTTTTGCAGTGGCAGGCGGTCGACTCATGACTTGGGGTATCAGCAATCGAAACCCTCCACTCCTGAAGAGCCCGATAGTTTGACCGCCGCGGGACTGCCACCAACTGCAACATACTGCAACGACTAAGACACCAGTTTTTCCGGCGGGCTCGTCCCATACTTCCGAGGTAGCAGAGGGGCATGTCTTTGTGGCGTTTGGACCGAGGTAGCTTGTCACAAAGCGTGGTTCTTTGCGTTTTCAGTTCGTGCATTAGCTTGGGCTCGAGGGGTTTTGGGGTTTGCCAAACCCTGAAGCCCTGAAGCCCTGAAGCCCTGCAACGGACCCGAAAAGCTCCTTGATAGAAGGCGCTTGCGTGCGGGGTGTCCCTCGAAGCAGGAGTGGTGTCCCAGGGGTGCCAACCCTGGCAAATCCTGGCAACGCAGTTTGTGCTACGCAGTTTGTGCTCAAGCAGCGCCAGCAGGAGTTCAGGAAGCAGGGTCAAGGAGGCCCAGGTCTCAGGAAAAGGGGAGTCAAGCAGGTGTCGTCAAGGCGGGGACCGAACTTTTGGAAGAGCGTTGATCTCCAACACCACGGCAGCATCGAGCGGCTGCAAACTTCGCGAAACAGAGTCCCAGGTGGAGCTCTCTGAAACTTGAGGAGCCGTCGAGCCTAAGTGCTACCGTAAGCGTGAAAAGAAACCTGGAACTTTCTACGCTCCAGGCAAAGGCTGTAGGTCCTAAGGAGTTTTAGGGTTTGGAAAGTTTAGGGGCAGCCGGCACGCCCAGACGTTGACAACAACCAGCACCTCGACGACCGCCACGTCAACCAGCACCTCTACAGTTGGGGGCCCAAGCGATCCTCACCCCCCCACCCGTGTTAGACAGTAGCGGGTACATAGGTCGTTGCTTACTTTGCAAAGGTTTGGATATTTCGGGGTTAGGGTTCATATCGCCCTACTTGTAACTTCCCGTGAGCCTTCAAGTAGGGTTTCGAGGTAAGATCTAAGCCCCAGAGCTTCCAAATCCGAAACCCACACCCCGAACCCTGAACCCTCTAGGGTTGTCAAAATCTACCTGTTTTACTCCCTGTACAGTAGCGCCGAGGTCACATCTCCGTACCTTAGATCCCCTAAGAGTACCCCCTTAATACAAGGGAAGTAATCCAGGGGCGTGTTCTAGTGTTCGTTTCGTAGTATTTTCCGACTTCCGCAGGCCTTGGGACCTAACCCTTGCAGCCCGGAAAAAGCGCTACGTAGTCACCGTCCCCGAACGATCCTTCAAAAGGGTTGAGGGTCTGAGGTTTTGAGGAGGGATATGAGCGGAATCATCATAATGATGACCCAGATGAAGCTTCGTTCATCCGGAACACCTGGCAAGGGTAGGATTGTCAGCCAGCGTGTGCTCATATCCCCGCACTTTCCCACTCGGTGCCCTCAGTCCACCACGGTCACCACTAGGGCAGAAGAATACATCGAAAACTCCAAGCGTGCTGCCGCATCTTGTTTCTGGTCCTCCTTCTTATGGGTGGGCGTTGCGGCTGTTTCAAGAGTTTTAATTGTTTTTTTGCAGTGGCAGGCGGTCGACTCATGACTTGGGGTATCAGCAATCGAAACCCTCCACTCCTGAAGAGCCCGATAGTTTGACCGCCGCGGGACTGCCACCAACTGCAACATACTGCAACGACTAAGACACCAGTTTTTCCGGCGGGCTCGTCCCATACTTCCGAGGTAGCAGAGGGGCATGTCTTTGTGGCGTTTGGACCGAGGTAGCTTGTCACAAAGCGTGGTTCTTTGCGTTTTCAGTTCGTGCATTAGCTTGGGCTCGAGGGGTTTTGGGGTTTGCCAAACCCTGAAGCCCTGAAGCCCTGAAGCCCTGCAACGGACCCGAAAAGCTCCTTGATAGAAGGCGCTTGCGTGCGGGGTGTCCCTCGAAGCAGGAGTGGTGTCCCAGGGGTGCCAACCCTGGCAAATCCTGGCAACGCAGTTTGTGCTACGCAGTTTGTGCTCAAGCAGCGCCAGCAGGAGTTCAGGAAGCAGGGTCAAGGAGGCCCAGGTCTCAGGAAAAGGGGAGTCAAGCAGGTGTCGTCAAGGCGGGGACCGAACTTTTGGAAGAGCGTTGATCTCCAACACCACGGCAGCATCGAGCGGCTGCAAACTTCGCGAAACAGAGTCCCAGGTGGAGCTCTCTGAAACTTGAGGAGCCGTCGAGCCTAAGTGCGACCGCAAGCGTGAAAAGAAACCTGGAACTTTCTACGCTCCAGGCAAAGGCTGTAGGTCCTAAGGAGTTTTAGGGTTTGGAAAGTTTAGGGGCAGCCGGCACGCCCAGACGTTGACAACAACCAGCACCTCGACGACCGCCACGTCAACCAGCACCTCTACAGTTGGGGGCCCAAGCGATCCTCACCCCCCCACCCGGGTTAGACTCTGTTAGACGATACTGTTCTGGGTATGTATGAGCCCTGCATCATACGAATGCGGCCTGAGTCTGGGAGTCACACCATTAGTCACCATTGTGGGTGTGAGAGCTGTGGGCCATATGGTCCTCTCAGCCCTGCAGGTCGGGGGTAGACATTCAGAATCGACAGATATAGACGGGTTTTCGCCATTTTTTCTGCAGCCCAAGCCATCCAATCCCAATGAACTCCATAGTCAATGTGGCTGCGGGACTCGCCGCAACTACAACAACTACTACGGGTGCTGAGGGTTTGGGGCTAGGGCTAGGGAACAAACTTTTGCTGGTATTGCTGTTGCCGATGTTTCAGATCCCAAGCCCAAACTTCAGTAGCTGGTCTTGAAGACAAGCCGGAGATGCCAGTTTGTCCGGCGTGGTGATTGGTGATTGTTGAAAGTTCGTGGATTGGCCTGGGCTTCAGGGGTTCGGGTTTAGGGTTTAGGGTTGGGATGTTCAGTACCGCCACCCCCCCCCCCCATTACGGACTGTTCGTACACGGGGGAACATCCCACATTTAGGTTTTAGGAAAGTTGACGGCCAGTCGACGACCTCGTCCACGAGCACCTCGGCCACGAGCACTTCGTTCTCTGCGGCACCTCGGCTGCTCTTCTACAGCAAAGTCTCAAGCCCTAAGCCCTAGAGCCCTGAGCCCGATCAACAACTTTAAAAAGAAGCAAGCCCTGAACCCTAAACCCTAAACCCTGAACCCTAAGCCCTAAACCCTAAACCTTAAACCCTAAACCCTCAACCCTAAACCCTGAACCCTAAACCCTAAACCCCACCCTAAACCCTATCAATTGACTTTACTAAGCCCAAGAGACCTTGGGGGAGTCATTGAGTTGTCACCTGTCGCTCTTGAGGAGCTGTCTAGCAAATCTGAAGGTCCCCAGGTGCTAAGGGTGAATAACAAGCCTGGTTTAGGGCTTAGGGTTTAGGGTTTAAGGTTTAGGGTTTAGGGTTTAGTGGCACTTTTCTACAGTCCAGGCAAACGCTGTATAGGTCTTAAGGATTTCTGGGGTTTCGGGGGTTGGGAAGCCGACATGCCCAGACGTCGACCGCAACGAGCACCTCGACGGCCTCCACGTCAACCAGTACCTCTACGGTTGGGGACCCAAGCGTTTTCAGGGTTCGGGGTGTGTTGTTCGCTGCCAACTCTGTCAAGGTTTGGATGTTTCGAGTGCGAGAGTGGAATGGGTGGACCAGTGTGGATATGCGGGGTTCTCCTGCATGATGACCCAGATGATGCTTCATTCATTTGGAACACCTGGCGTGCTGTCGACTTTAAGCACGTGTGCGCTCATGTCCCGACCCCAGGCCGATTGGGTTTCAGGCAACAAGGTGATGTCAAAAGCAGCCTGTGTGTTTGTCAAACCTATATCCTGAACAAAACTTATTTTGCATTGCGAGTGCCAGCGGCGCCCACAAACCGTCTTTTGCCCCACTCGCCCCACTCGCGCTGCTGGGGTAGTGGGGCCAGTGCCCCCAAGTCTGCCTCGTTCTGTGCAGACAGTGAGGCAAATTTTTTCTTGTCGCAGAAGCTTTCCCTTCCCCTCCTCCCCCAACCCATGACCCGCCCCTCCCAGCCACGGCTCATGGGATTGCTGCAAGCCTAGGCAGACTTTTCTTGCCGCAGCTTTCCCTTTGCCCGTATCGTCGCTTCTTGAACCTTCACTGACAGGTCACCTCCACTACTGCCACAAGGCGTGCAGCTTCCGTGCGTGTGCGAGCTTGTGGGCAGTGGATAGACCATGCGCCAAGAATTTATGGGAATGGGCAATGTGATTAGTGCATTCTGGTCGTTGAAACTATCTTGTGGCGTTGTGAGCTTTTGAGTTTGCCCTGCAGGTCATCCACGACGGCTACCCGCACGACGACCACGACAACGCGAGTTTGCAGCAGCAGCACTTGTCCAGATGCATTCTTGCTGAAGCCAAATGCAGGCTTGATTCCAGGCCACAGCCAAGCTGATTGTTGCGATGTCACGTGCAGTATCTACGAATGTCCTGAGGGCCATTTGCTGACACAGGCAGCAAGCTCCACTCGTGGTAACAGCACCAGTGAATGCTGTGATGCGACTTGCAGCATTTATCAATGTCCCGATGATTATGTGCAAGTGCTTGAGCCGGGCTCCCTACGTGCGAACAGCAGCAGTGATTGCTGCGATGTAACTTGCAACACCTATGATTGCCCAGAGGGCCACCTGCTCAAATTGTCTGCAAACGTCACTCGTGGCAACAGCAGCGATATATGCTGTGATGCGACGTGCAGCATCTATCTTTGCCCTGATGGGTATGTGCCAATACTGGATGCAAGCTCCGTCCGTGCCAGCAGTCGCACTGAATGTTGCGAAATCACTTGCAGCCTTTATGAGTGCCCGCAGGGCTTTTTAGCAAAGCCAGATCCTCTATCCATTCGTGGCAGTGGCCAGGCTGTTTGTTGCGAGGCATCGTGCAGCGCGTATCCATGTCCAGATGGGTACGAGCAAAAGTCCGGTGCGGGCAACGACATGTCGCAGTGCTGCGTAAAAAGATCCGCGTACACTCCTCCATGCAAGTGCCGCAGTGCAAGCCAAGATCCGGTCTGTGAGACTGGTGCAGGTGCAGCCTGCAACACACCTGCGAACAGTGAAGAACTGTGGGCATGCTACGATGCAAGAACCATGTGTCAACCCCAAGTGGCTTGTAGCCCCCACGAGTCGCGTGATGCGGAGACGTGTGGACAAATCATCGAAGAGGCTGCGTGCAACACCAATCTCCTTTGTGAGTACAAGCCGGTCACTGTTGAACATGCTTCTAGGGCAGATTCAGCCTAATTTTTCTTTACCCCTTCCCTAAACCCTAAACCCCAAAACCCTAAACCTAAACCCTAAACCCTTTACATGTGGGGACCATGTGGCTCCGTGTCGGCTTGAGGGTTTTGAAATCCAACCTCAGGCTTGGAGCTGCGTCTCCATCCCTGGACGTGAGGCATTTCAGTCGGCCTGCCAGGAGATGGTGCTGCTCGGGGTTAGGGGCTTTCGGGTTTAGGCTTTCTAGTTTAGGGTGTCAGGGTGTTAGGGTTTAGGGATTCAAGGTTTCAGGATGTTTCAGACTTAGGTCTGTAGTAGGGCTTAGCGCCCAGGAGCTTGCAAGACCAGCCTGCCTAGCGCAAGCAGAAGTTTGTGCCTGGACCATCCAGGAGGTGCGCTCTCCTTGCATGAACCTATGTCGCAGTTTGGGAAGTCACTTTCTTCAGTCTTTTGTTCTGAGGAGTGACATCCTAGAATGGGGTAAAGGCTAGAAATGGGTCAATGATTCTCATCCCGACACCCTGAACCCCAAACCAGGAACAACGGCACATGGCTTGGCTGCGAGCCTCTTTTTGAAGAGGCCAGGGCCACCTGCGAAGCTCGCGCCAACGAGGCCGAGTGCTTGGTGCTCTCGGATCTCTGCGCGTGGAAAGGCCACTGCCGCTGCACTCCAGATTACGTCGGGGACACCTGCAACCAGTCGGTCGTGGAATTCCGCAGCCACGGCGGAGCCTGTGCCCTTGCGAACTCCAACCCGGACTTTTGCAAAGGCTTGGGCCTGCATGAGGGACCACTTAAATATAGTCCTCAAATAGTAGGATTCCCGTATAAAAAGGACCCCAATAAGGCCCCCACCCCATAATATCGGCAAACGCCTAATTGTTGGGGGATGCAGCCCAGTCGTCGCCCCGTGACTAGAGTTTTCCTCGGGTCTACCCTTTCAACTCTCCACCGTTTAGAGTTGTCAGACTCCTGTGACAGGAATCGTCTATGCCTCTTCTTCGTCGGACGCTTGGCGCTGCGCCCAAGGCGGAGGCTGCGACCGATGGAGGTCCATCAAGGCAGCCATGGCATCACTTTGGGAGTTTGAGGTTGGAGACATTCTTGTGGACGCGCTGGGGATCCTGCTCAACATCTTCTTCTGGTGCATCGTTTGTAGAGCAAGAGGGGGCCCCATGGAGAGATTGAAGAGCATCTTCGAAAACCAGTCCATCATCGCTGCCCTCGCTAACTTTTTCGTGGACTTCTGCCTCCAAATCGCCATCATCTCCGCCGTAGGAGATGCCGAAGATGCCATTGACGAGCTCAAAGGTGCGGGGTGCCTCAACCCGGCTTCCGGAGATGGGTACTCAGCACTGATCCTTTTGCAGGACATGGTGGGCTCCATCACAGGCCTTGCAGTCGTGAACGTGATCGCGGCGGTGATCGGGGGCATATCTGCGGTTGTGGCAGCGTGCCTCGAGGATGCCGAGGAGACAGGACAAAAGAGAGCTTGTCTGCGAGAATGGCTAGCAGCGGCGGGAAGATGCCTTGGAACACGGTGTTTGGAGAGTAAGGCGGCGCACAAATGCATGCACACCTGGCTAAGTAAAAAGGCCGGAAGTTGCGGTTGTGGTTTGTTGAAGGCAAAGGAAAGTGAAAGCAAGGGTGACAAGCCGGACGATACTGTTCACGATGATGGGAAGAAAGAAGAGAGGGAGTTTGACAGTTTGAAGCTCGCACTCTTCGTGACTCAATGTATGTGCAGCGCTGTGGAGCTGTTCTTATCGCTGGTGAGCTTCTTCACGAACACCAGGCCCCTTGTACCCATGCTCGAGAGCATCGAGGCCGCAGCTTTGCGCTTGGATTCTGCGCAGCAAGAGGACATGTGCTTCTCAAGGTACGAGGGCCTGCCTGCGACTTCACAAGTTGGAGTTGGCTGGCATGCGGTGTGGCCGATGTTCGCGTGCCTGGCGGTCGTCGTCATCTATTTGCTGTACTACTGCTCTCCCGAGTGTGCACAAGTGAGCCCGGCTTGCTTGTATTGCTTTTCCAAAGTCCGATGTGCTTTCAAGAAGGAACCGAGCCCTGATGGTTCACAAACGTTGGACATTCTCCCAAGGCCTCCCTCCGTCAGGCCGGTTGAGCCAAAGGATCCTCCTGCTACTACTTTTTTGGGATCTGGAGGACTTGAGCCAGGTGCAGCAGATGATGCTAGTGAGTGATGGACCTGCTGTCGGCTTCAAAAGGGCTTTGGGGGGTGACACGGGACAAAGGCAAGCATGGTCCATTGATGTGGAGACTTGTTTCGACAGGTTCTGTTGCGATATGTTGAGGCAGGTCGATCACGCCGAAATTTCCAGAGGTGCATTCTTCATTCTTCAGCTCCGGTACCGTGTCGAACTGCACAGGATCTGCACCGGATCTGCACCGCTATTGTTCTGGCCACATGAGGCCCAACCCGTATACCTTCTTTTCCACTCGTGATGTGCGATCAGGGTTTCACAGCATCGGCTCTACGTATGATGCGCTGTGGGTGGCAGACCGGTTGCAGCTTAATCGGCTATTGTTGTGGGGGACGAAGGCCTTAGCTCCGCACCAAGGCCAATCGAAGCCGTCTAGGCCCTTTTCACGGGCAGCAAAAGCGCTACCCAACATTTCTTTCATACCGCTTTCGCCGGCAATCATCACATCAAAGTGATCCTGTGATCCTGCGAACCGGCCTGCGCTACACCGGCTGTGAAGGGCCTGCTGCTCAATGGGCAGCAGAAAGGTAAGGGTCGACTGCGTAGTAATACACAGTGACATCGTGGCAAATCTTGCGACCGGTGTCAAGAAATTCTCCGGGAGCCTTGGCCTTAAGCCAAGGCCCCACCTGCAGGAGGTCTCACCTGAATGAGGTCGTGGAGGCCCTTTTGCAGAAGCCTGGGGCAGCAAAAAACGCTGCCCTGCCGGCCTATATCAGAATGCAGCATATGATGCAGCATATGATTTGCTTTCTTGGAGAAACCTGGCCTGGCCAGGTTGAGGGCTGGGGTTCAGCATAGATTAACGACCTGTAGCGGGGGGTGGCTCTCCAGGTGTTGGCCTGGCGAGCGCTTGCGCAGGTTTCTCGACGGCAGGAAGAGCCTCGGAGCTCTCAAAATCCGAGAAGCAGACTTACAACGTGCTGTGCCGAACTGCACGAAATACGTGCCCACTGAATTGGCGCAGTGCCAAACCGGGCCCTTCATGTGGCGTTGAGGGTTGCAGGCTGTGCATTGCAAACCCTGCTGCGCAGCCTTGCCTCAATGCACAAGGCCCAGATAGAATGGGGCCGTTTGGGCCCTGGGCGGAAAAGAGCCCCATCATTTGCACGCGCTTTCGAAGAAACCTGGCCGGGTTGAGGGTCAGCTTAGGACTCAGAACATGTAGGAGGGTACTTGCCCTCCAGGCGCTGGCCTGGCGAGATCTGCAGGTTTCCTCATGGCTTCATCTAAGATGCAGCTCTTTTGCGAAGTTTGAAAACCTCTGGGCGACAGTCGGCACGCCTTTGAGGTAGCCACGAATTTCTCTCTCGCCGAAAGTGTAGCCTAATTGAGAGCTACGCGCTTTTGGTGTAAACCACGAAAGATGCACTTAGCACAGCGCTGGCTGCATCGTGGACTTGACAAATGAGCGGCTGCGGGGCCTTCGGGCCTTGTTTTGAAGTCGCGGGGCAACATTTCAAGAAACCCCCCATCCCTTCTTGCCAGCCGAAGCGTTCTGGTCAGCTTGGCCAGAAGTACCTTGGTGGAGGATGTGTGCCCACGTTCAGAAGTGCTGAAGCAATGTGCACCTGCGAGATGCGCAAAGTCGTGATACACCTTAGGTCTGCAAGAATGTCTGTTTGTTTTTTAAAATTGTCAGCTCATCGTAAACGGCTTTGCACCGCTGGCACATTGACTTGCACCTGTGGAAGTTTGGTGACGGCAGCAGCTGAGCATCACTTGACGAAACCTGGTCCGAGTTGAGGGTCAGCCCATAGGACTCAGAAGAACTACAATCACTTCCATACCCATTCTTGCCGGCAATCAAACATCAAGGTGATCCTGTGATCCTTGGCTCAATGAAGGGCCTGCTGCTGCTCAATGGGCAGCACACTGGGTCCCCAAGGGTCGACTACATAGTAAAATGCATAGTGACATAGCAGGCTGGCAAAATCCGAAAGAAGACCCTAAAGACGACCGGTGTCAAGAAATTCTCCGGGAGCCTTGGCCTTAAGCCAAGGCCCCACCTGCAGGAGGTCTCACCTGAATGAGGTCGTGGAGGCCCTTTTGCAGAAGCCTGGGGCAGCAAAAAACGCTGCCCTGCCGGCCTATATCAGAATGCAGCATATGATGCAGCATATGATTTGCTTTCTTGGAGAAACCTGGCCTGGCCAGGTTGAGGGCTGGGGTTCAGCATAGATTAACGACCTGTAGCGGGGGGTGGCTCTCCAGGTGTTGGCCTGGCGAGCGCTTGCGCAGGTTTCTCGACGGCAGGAAGAGCCTCGGAGCTCTCAAAATCCGAGAAGCAGACTTACAACGTGCTGTGCCGAACTGCACGAAATACGTGCCCACTGAATTGGCGCAGTGCCAAACCGGGCCCTTCATGTGGCGTTGAGGGTTGCAGGCTGTGCATTGCAAACCCTGCTGCGCAGCCTTGCCTCAATGCACAAGGCCCAGATAGAACGAGGCCGTTTAGGCCCTTGCCACCCGCATTTGAAGAAACCTGGCCGGGTTGACACGGCATGTAGGAGGGTATTTGGTGGCCTGGCGAGATCTGCAGGTTTCCTCATGGCTTCATCTAAGATGCAGCTCTTTTGCGAACTTTGAAAACCTCTGGGCGACAGTCGGCACGCCTTTGGGGTAGCCACGAATTTCTCTCTCGCCGAAAGTGTAGCCTAATTGAGAGCTACGCGCTTTTGTTGTAAACCACGAAAGATGCACTTAGCACAGCGCTGGCTGCATCGTGGACTTGACAAATGAGCGGCTCCGGGGGGCCTTCGGGCCTTGTTTTGAAGTCGCGGGGCAACATTTCAAGAAACCCCCCATCCCTTCTTGCAAGCCGAAGCATTCTGGTCAGCTTGGCCAGAGATACCTTGATGGAGGATGTGTGCCCACGTTCAGAAAAAAGTGTCTGTGGCCGCCTGCGCTGAAACAATGGGCACCTTCAAGATGCCCAACGTTGTGATCTACCTGAGGTCTGCAAGAATGTCACATGTTTTGTTTACGCAGAAACTTTGTTCAACTCATCGTAAACAGGCGAGACGCCATGACCATGAGATCTCAACATCACAATGCAAGAAGTTGGGTTCTGGCCCTGGTTCAATCCAAGAATTTCGCTCGCTGTCCTTTGGGCGCGGCGGCCGGGCTTAGGGTGGGCGTTGGAGATGATTTGTGCAAGAGCATCTCCAAGGAGCGGAAGTCTCTTTCACGGCCTTGAAGTTGCGTTCAATCAAATTTCAAGCATGGATGTCATGAAGGGAACATAAAGAACAACTTTCCATGCACTCTCCAAAGGAAAAGGCCCGCCAACTACAACCCTAAACCCTAGCCCTAAGAGTTTATGCTACCGAAGAACAGCTTTGCATGGACTTCTGGGCATCCATGGTTGCACCACTCCCGCAGTTGGCTCTTCAGTTCCCTCGTCTTCGTGTTAGTCAGCTGTGCTCTGATAGCTTCTTTGCTCGAGCCTGACATTGCTGGACTGGTTCCTCGTGGTCCCCTAAACCCTAAGCCCGAAATCCGAAACCCTAAACCCCAAGCCCTGCATCCTAAACCCTAAACCCTAAACCCCAAATCCTAAACTCTGAACCCACACGGCGTTTTCAAAATGAGGTGCAGGGCTGCCCAAGAGATCACGAAGTGCAGGAGCGATCTTCACGGCTGTTGCAAGGTTTGCAAAGCATGCAAGCGCATGGTAGTCACGCACACCAAACCATGGAGCGTGGCTGCCGCTTGGCGGGGCATGAATGGATGGCTTGAGGGCGTATAAAGAGTGGCAGAATGGGGCCCGAGTTCAGGTCAGTTTTTCAAATGTTGATTTGGTGCTGTATCTCCCCCAGACGCAACCTGCTTGTCTTTTGGGATTGTGCTGTTGTGCAGGCGAAGGATTCTCCACGCGTGCAGTTCTCTTGTCCCTCGTGCCCACTTGCAGTGGAGAAAAGTGAACGAGGGCAACGAAAACACATATGGGGAACCCCGATACAAATCAAGACCAGCTACCGCAAACTCCTGAAGAATGCTTTTGGATGGGATCCTGCTGTTCCAGGCCCATGGATTGACCACAGCACCAGCTGCACGTTGGAAAGCACACCCTATATCCCTCGCGCGCGCTAAGCTGGAAGCCAAAACCTCGATCGAAAGGCACTCGGTTGGGTGCAGCTTCACATGATCAGGTGCTCAGAACATCAGATCCCTTGAGAATCAAAAAAAACCCAAAGCAACAATCTTGCGTTGCACAGGGTCGCTGAGAATCGACAAGTACCGCTCGTAGAACCTTCACATGCGGAAATCCCATCAGCAGCCACACAAGCCCTTGGCCTTCACCCTTCGACACTGTACGCCCCGAGTTCACAGTGCGACCATCACCTCTGTCCCGCCACCGGAAGCCAAAGAAGCATTGAACCCTCAGGCAGCGCATTGGCTGCCGACTTTCTGCCAGCCTGGCTGATTGGATAGCGTAGGGTCTGCTGTGTTTGGGACTCCGAAGGTTGATGTGCTCATGAGGCTACAGGTGCATGCGATGGCACTCATTCAGAACGCTTGGTCTAGATCATGTGCTGATCCTCTCGAGAACGCAAGCAGATTTAAGGAGACATGCTTTTGTGGTATAGGTAGGTGGTGTGTAGCAGGCCTCATGTGCATGCAGATCTAGCTTGTGGACAGTTTCTCGTGTCGGCTTTCTTAGCCCTGTCTGTCCATAGCTCAAGCAGCAGATGGCGATGTGTTGGCCAGAGCATCTGACGTAGACCTATCTTTCCATATGTTTTTTTTCCAATTTGGCTTCTTCGCATCGAGTTGCTACCGGGTACTGTATGCTTCCTAAACTAGCAAGCTCTATGGGGCTTGGGATTTAGGATGCGGTCTTGATGAACCAGGTGCTGCCATAAGTGTCCGTCTTTTGGGGAATGCAGGGTATTCGTCTAGCTCTCAGGGGGAGTATCGAAGCTCCTTGGGAGAGTTCCGTAATCTCCAGACAGAGTTCTTGGCTGTTTTCACAC